TATTTTGTTTTGGTTATTCTTAAGTTCGTGTTCTGTGGTATATTGTGTGATCTGTTTATGGTGGTCAGAATAAGAAGGTAGCCAGTGGGGCCCTTGCCACCAGAGGGGATGTTGTAGTAATTGTGAAGCTTTCAAACCTCGACTAGCACAGTCAGCTGGGTTTTCTTCTGACTTGACATATTGCCAATGTTCTGGTGGGATGTTCTCAGTTATTTGCTTTACACGATTGGCCACGAAGGGTTTCCAATGCGTGGGCTCTCTGTTCAGCCATCCCAGAACGACCATAGAGTCAATCCAGCCATATATTTTGACCTCATAGTTTTTAAGGCAATCGCATACCTTTTGCATTAATTTAGAAAGAAGTTGAGCTCCACAAAGTTCTAATTTTGGTAGGGTAATGGTTTTACTAGTCGGAACTAATCTTGCCTTTCCTATAACTAACACGATGGATGTTGTGGCGTCTCTGTTGATTTTGCAATATATTACGGCAGCGTATGCTTTAGTTGAGGCGTCACAAAAACCATGTAGCTCAATGGTGTCTTGATTTTTTATTTTTAACCATCTAGGAACTCGTACTTGACTAAGGTTATTTAATTCTATTTTTATTCTCGCCCATTCATTGCATATTTCTTCTGGTAAGTTTTGATCCCAATCGAGTTTTAATTTCCATACATTTTGAAATAGAATTTTCAGTTTCGTGGTGAGTGGTGAAAGCCAGCCTAATGGGTCAAATATTTTTGATATATCAGACAGTAGGCTCCGTTTGGTAGTAGAGTTCTTTAAATCTATATTGTAATCAAAAACAAACTCATCGCTTTTTGGTTGCCAACGCAGCCCTAATATTTTGTTGGATTCGGCTTGTTTGAAGTCAAAGTCATCTTGGTTATTTTGGTTTTCATCTGAAAGCAGTTGAATGGTATTTGACTTCCATTTGTATAAATTGAAGCCGCCTGATTTCAGAAGTTTAATTAAATCATTTTTCAACATAATTCCGTCAGGTATATTGTGACAACCATGCAATACATCATCCATATAGAAAGATTCTTCCAGGACTTTGATTGCATCAGTGGTGGTGTAATTTGATTTTTCATCGCTTGCGAGTTGTTTTAGAGTCATCATAGCTAAGAATGGTGCAGATTTAGTTCCGTATGTAACTGTGGTGAGTTGGTATTCCTGTAGTAGTTGATCAGGAGCGTCCCGCCAAAAAACCTTTTGGTATTTTTGATCACTTTCATGGACTTTTATTTGGCGGAACATCTTTTCAATATCCGCGGTGAAAGCATATTGGTACTGTCGCCACTTCAATATCAAAGTTTGTAGGTCCTGTTGTAGATTGGGACCTACTTCCATAACGTCATTTAAGCTCCGACCGGTAGAAGTATTGGCGGACGCATTAAAAACGACTCTAAGTTTTGTAGTGGATGACTCAGAACGCTCTACGCCGTGATGTGGTAAGTAACAGTCGAGTGTCATGTTACCTTTGGCGCGCGCGACTGGAATCATATGGCCTAATAAGCGATATTCATTCATAAAGAATTTATAATTACAAGCCATTATATTATTTTTTGAAAATTTTCTTTCTAGTTGTCGAAATTGAGCGATGGCCATAGATTTCGATGATCCCAACAGATTTTCATGGTTTGGTTTAAATGGTATTTTGACATGGTATCGTCCTTCTTCATCTCTTGTGGTTGTAGATTGATAATATTTAATGCAGTGGTCATCTGCTTCAGAAAGATCGGATGTTTGTGTAATGTCCTCGATTTCCCAGAATCTTTGTAACTCATCCGTATGGTTTAGAACTACGTTACAATGAAACCTTTGATTTTCGACGTTGCCACATAGGATCCATCCGAATTGTGTTTCTTGGGCAACTGGATGGCATGGTCCTAATTTTATAATACCGCTCATTATAATGGTTGAATAAATATCCGCACCCAATAAGATATCTATTTTTCTACTAATATAAAAGTCAGGATCGGCTAAGTCAATATTATCTAAATATTTCCAGGTTGGTTTTATAAAGGACTGATTTGGCAATTTATTTATCAAACTTCTCATAATTAATGCATCTGTAGTGGTAAAAAACTCATTATATAGTGATTGAATTTGAATTTGAATAACACCTTTGCAGTTATTCTCTTTAGCGCCGACTCCAAAGATAACTCCTTTACACCGCTTTCTCGGTAACCTTAAAATTTGGGCGGCATTTTCAGAAATAAGGGATGTTTGGGAGCCCTGGTCTATGAGCGCCCGTAAAGTGTGGTATTTTCCGTCTACAGCCATAACATTTATCATTGCTGTTGCTAATAAAGTTTCAGCTACATTTTTGTGAGACACGTGGCATGTTTTTCTTTCACTCGCAGTTTTGGTATTGGTGATAGTTGAGTTTTCTGTTGATGACATAAATAACTCATGAATTAAAGAATTATGTTTTGCATTGCAGTGGCGACAAGTTTTGTTGGATAAGCATTCTTTACCGTGGTGGTTGAATAAACAATTTTCGCATAGACTGTATTTCGTAATTGTTTTTCGCTTTACATCCGGTCTAGATTCGCGAAAGAGTTTACACAGGTAAATTGCATGATTTTCGTTGCAATGAGGACATTTTTTGGTTTCCACGTGCATAGATTTGTAGGACGGTAATGGTTTGGTTTGTTGATGACTGATCGATGGTTGTTGGTATGCTTTTTTGAAACGATGATCTTCATGGTGTGATGACTTAGTTGATTCCTGTTTACGTCTAAAAGCTTCTAAAGACGTAAATTTGGACTCCAAAAATTTCAAAAAATCTTTTAAAGTTGGTAACTCTCTCGGGTTCTCTAACGAACCAACATAATCATTATGTGAATCCAAGTCGAGTTTCTGGGATAACAGATGTACTATTAGGGGGTCCCACGTGGAAATATCAACACCCATTTTCTGAATGGCGTGTAGGCACTCGTTGGTGGTATCATGTAACTTCTTCAATAGAACGGCATTTTGGACTTGTATGACTGGTAAATTCAAAAGAGTATTGACGTAAGACGTAAATATCATTTTTTTGTTGTTAAAGCGATGGTTCAAAATATCCCATGAAATTTGGTAGTTTTCAGAAGACACATTTAAATGTTGAATTAATTACTCCGCTTCGCCCTTCAATTTACTTTTCAAAAATTGAAGTTTCTGTGCATTTGATAAGGATGGATTATGGTGGATTGATTCTTGGAAAAGATCTTTAAATGACGTCCATTGCTGGTAGTTGCCACTGAAAAATGGTATCTCCATTTGGGGGGTCGACTTCTCCCTGTGGGACACTGACCACATTTTGGTGTTAATTAGTCGCTTTATGGTATCAAATCTTGTTTCGTATTTCGCAAACTGTGCTTCATACGCCTCATAAACGGAATAGTCATCTTTCGGTTCACTGTCGATCTCCCAGTGCATAGAATCGATAACATTCCACCTAGAGTGTAACATTTTCAGAGCATCATCGAATTCCCACTTATTAACTAAAGCATCTATGTTTATGTTGGAGATTGTTCGCGAAAAAGCTTTGAAATTACTAGATTGTTTTCGAAACAGCTCATCGAGTTTGCTGCTGGTTTTTTCATATTTTCGCGATGAAGTAGAAGCAGCGGTTGGTATTGGTATGGTAAATGGTGAAACATTTAATGGTGTCGCTGGTTTTAAAAGTGGTGTTGATGGTCTACTCTCTTCTTGCTTATAGCTTTGAATAAGCAACTTAGTTTGGTTATAAAAGTCATTAGTACGTTCATATTCTTTGCCTGTAAAATAAGCATTATTTTGGTCTCCAAAATTACATAACTGGATATGGTTCGACTGAAATTCTTTCCAGTAGCTATCTAGGGTCTCCAGCTTCCTCCTTATATAATCTGGTGTCTTGCGGTCACGGCTGTCCTTCTTGAAGTTCTTCAGAAGTTGGTCCATACCCGCCATAATTTGGCTTTGAGTTTCAAGTAAAGCCTCCATGGTAATGATATTAGTTGTTAAAAAAGGAAAGATCTTACTTGGTTTATCGCGCAGAACGTTTTAACCTCAGCTAGGTTCAGCAGTGGTTGTTGGATAGCTCAGCCTTGGTACGGCTGAGGCCCAGCACTGATACAGTACAGGAACCCGTCGTCGGTTAACAGTTGCAAGTCCGTACACACTTACGATGGTTTTGACTCACGATGGTCACTGTTTTAACACTCGCGATAGGTTCCTTCTACGAATCGAAGGACCATTTAGATGTACGGGGAATACACCTTATTGTTGAGATAGTTATAATAAAAGTCACTTGTAGGCAATAATAATAAAAAGTATATATTTTATTTAGTCACTGTAGTAACAAGGTTCTTAAACTTATTTTAACACTGAGTCTCTTTATACTAATAAAATTATAGAAAAGGAAATTATAACTATGGTGAAATAATGGTAGTAGAAAGTATGGTAAAATGGTATGAGTGAGTACGCGCGATTGGTATGGCGATCGGAAAAACACTAACTTTTACTTCGATATTAGAGACATTGCGAAACATAATTTAAAATAATTATGAATTAAGTAGCAAGCGAATATTGCTGACGCGCGTTACCTACTTATTACAGTTCAATGTGCGGTCGGGACCGTACAATAACCTTCAGGAAGTTTCTTCGACAGGCTATGTCCTGCAATTTTAGCAATCGTATCTGGCAACTATCATGAGTGACGACATGCAAGTTTTTGCGCCAAATTCAACGATAAATAATATTGTATTTTTTATTCATAAAAATCAACTTATTTTTGCAGAAATATATATATTATAGATTTTTAATTATCTAAGGAACAGACTGAGACACGTATGTGGTAGATCAGTCCGTATAATTCAGGTATTCTATACATTACCTGAGTAAATTGTATACCTACGGAGTTCCGGTATTGTCTCTTTTGCCCCCAAGGGGTGACTTGGTGGAATAATTCGTATTTTATTGTTTAATGATCATATTAATGCCATATGAAGTTAAAAGCCTAAAACAAATACCTTGTGTAGTCAATCTTCTTTGTTATCGGGGTTCGCGGTGGCGCAGCGAAATTGAACCAAACGACTTTCAAATCGATGGCGCAAGACGAAGTGTTCCCGTTGTCTTTGACTGGCACCACCGCCGTGTTACTATCGTTGGACGGTTCGTCCGGGCCAGGCGTGGATGGCTCCGGAGGCACCGGAGGCACCGGCGGTACCGGCGGCGGTTGCGAGTTCCCCAAATTAGGGGTACTCGGTTTAGAGTTCGAATCGCGCTTCCTAAACAAGTCCTCGATGCCTGACGTGCGACTCTTCGCAGGCTTCTCCTTATCAGGCTTTAGTTCTTCCGCCGATTTCACCGACTCCCGGCAACTTTCGCTTTCAGTCCGCGTAGGTTTCTTGTCATCGTTTGGCTTATGGGATAGAGAATGCATGGACACTTTTATCGACGTGCCTTCGAGCCCGCATTCGAACATTATATAGCCAATTGAGTTCTCCTTCTGTCCATCTGAACCTCCGTTCTGATTCTTAAAAAGAAAATACACGTGATCAAAGCACATTAAAATAGAAAGATTAAAATAATCATAACAATAATATTCTTGATTGCACACTATATAGGAAATATTACAAAGAAGCTAGAAAAGAGAATAGACAAAAGGCGCTCTTATTTATATGTGACGATCTCTTCCAGGAAACCTATTAAATTAAACCCATTTTTACTTACTGTACTTTCTGTTCCTTTCGCAGTAGGGTCGACTCTTATGAATTTAAAAGCTACTTTGGAATGTTGGCACGGAATTCCTGTAATAGTGGCATCCTTAAGTAGCGTCGATTCGTTACGGATTCGACGGAGTTGACCGTGAACTTTTCCTAGAATACAAAATAAAATATATGAATCTGCATTTCATCCACATATTTATGAAAAAGGAAACATGAGTCGATACGCACCCACATTCAGTGTGATTGTTGTGTCTTCTGACTGCTGTTGCGAAGTTTCTATGAAGACAGGATCACCCTTCTCCGTTCCTCGTTTTCGCCCAGATCCAGAAGATTGTGTGGATATGAGCGCCCTCGGACCTTTCATAATCCCAAAAGTCTTCTTACTTCCTAGAGCTCTGAGGGTCGGTCTATAATATACTTGCACAGATTCCAGCGTCTTCTTTGAACTTACATATTTAGCTGTAATGTTCTCCACCGAAACTCCAAACAACGATACACAAGTTAAATCTTGAATATTGTCGAGAGCGGAAAAGGATATCATGTCCTCAACAACAGAAGATTGTATGAATATCAAGTTCACCTTCGGGACCGTGACTGTTGCCTGCAATTGTTCACAAATAGTTTCTTCATACACATTCGTGTGCGGTATAGTAGCAAGTTTGCATTTGTCATCTTTGTCTCTTATCACATTAGATTGATTCCGAGCTTGCATTTGTGGCAACCAATTTTGTACATATTGTTTCTGTTTCAAAACGTTCGCATTTTCCACTGACGATATGCAGAGTAACCGTAAGTGATTAATGACTGTTATTGGATGGATGTTCGCCAAAACTGGTGTCAAAGATTCCACGAATTTTTGAGTACTCTCCAGAACTAGTGGTGTCAACATAATGTCAATTTCTCCTCGCAATTTAACAAAGAGACCGCTTTTGCTGTCACTGGTAGTGGTAGCTATTGATGATGAAGTCTTATCAGTGGTATTCTCTTGATTGTCTTGTACACTTTGCTGTATATCCCACCACCCTTGTGGGTAAGGATGTGCCTTTACCTGATTATTGAAATGGGGAGTTAAATTCGAATATGGGCCATGTTGAGTTTGACTGTTATGACCTTCCTTTTTAGAGATAAGTTTCAAAATATTCACTTTTCCGATTGCTTCAAATTTCGGTAAATATTTCTGGCCGACATAAACTAAGGTTCCATCGTCTGCCCTTTTAAAAAGAGGCAACGTAAAAACATCGCTTCCACTTGGTAGGGAACATGTATACCAATTAGTACATTTGTACTGAGGTAAGTTTTGTATATAGCTCGCCATGAGCAGAGGAGAATCTACTATTGGTTTGTTGGTCTGCATGTGAAGATTTACTAAAGTCATATCCTCTTGTGAGGAAATTGCGGAAATAAACGAAGTCGAAGACACAGACCCACTTTCTGAGTCAGGCTGAGCGCCTGTACTTAAATTACTTATTGTGTCTGGTCCATCTACCACTTCAGATCTAGGCATAGAATTGGTCCACTTTTCATTTGTGATATCATTGATACCAAAAGAGCTTTTGTCTTTGGGATTGCTGTGACGACTTCCGAATGAATGTTTTAAACTTGAAGATCTGCTTGGAAACATGTCCTCGTCAGCAGAAAAGAAAGCTTCAGAGTGATTTTCACTAGTTATAGACATCGTCCTTTGTACTTCTTTCTGTAATGTGTCGTCCTGTGGTATCTGAGAATTTAATGAGTAATGAGACTCTGATGATCCTACTGTTCTAGCAGGAACTTTAGGCACAACAAACGCATCAATTTCTGTCTGCACTGGTTTTTTAATGGTTGGTATATTTGAATTATCTTTTACTCCACAACTCAATGCGAGTTTGGAGTCGGAGACACTACTTTCCATTTGAGGAACATTAAGTATAGTCTTATTTAGCTTGGAATCACTATCAATTTTGGAGCTTCCCAAAGGAACAGTAGAATCCACGAGTCGGGCATAAGGTACGTCGCTTTTCGTACTAGACACCAAAACATTGTTGCTGCCTTTGCTCATGCTAGTGTATGAAAATCTCCTAGTCAAACTTCTCCTCTCAGCACTTTGTGGCGATCTATTAAAGGATTGCGGTAGAGGTGACGGTATCAACGTAGTAGCGTTGGAAGGTTGTAAGCAAACATTCAGACTGTTATAAGGAGGGGTGTGGAAGACTAACTGTCCCGTATGCAGCAAACTCTGACCGTAACCATATTCACCGGGAGTAGTTTCTATAATATTAAATAAAGCTATGTTGATTCCTTCATTAAAATCCGAAGGACTGGGTTTCAAAAAATTGGGACCATTTCTATTGGATCCAAAGAAAGCACATCCGCCAGTACATCCACACTGGGAACTTTTTCCCTCACTGGGCCACAGGAACCATAAGCGTTTCGACTTATCGTCGTGAAGTTTTAGGAACTTTTGTTGAACTAAATGAAGATTCTTCGGGCTCTGGGGTAGAGATGAAGCAGCTTCTATCAAAACAGGCCCCAATGATGCTGAACCAACCCCAACCCAATTTTCACTTTCCGGTAGCTTACTGTGGCTGCTATTGCTACCAGTAGAATTATGATGAGTATTTGTTTGCATATTTGTTTGAGTATAGACAGCAAGTTTTATATTAGGCAATAAGCCGGTAACACCAGTTCCAAAACCTGCTCCATGCAGGTTGCAGAAGCTCAGTCTGACTGGTGATAGCCAAGTCTGTAGTGTAGTGTTAGTATCAGCAATATGAATATCAATCAAATCAACTGCTACACGTATCATGCGGTACTTTATTTCATTTGGTGTCGGACAGCGATATTTTAACGTGACATCTGACTCTGGACATAAAACAGTGTTCATGCCATGATGGCAATATTTAAGTGGATTTGGAGGGATCAATTCATTTTCACTGTCGCAAATCAACAACAAAAATGTTTCTAATGATGATATAATCTGGTACAATTGAGGAAGCGTCAAACGGCCAGTAAGTTGCCCTAACTGTAACTCCATCATCCAGGCATATTCTATGGTGTCTTCCTCCACAGATCTATTGGTGTCACTAAAAAAACCATTTCCACGCAGCTGAAACGAGGAAAGCATTAAATGTCCTTGATATAGAGCTCCAGAATTTCCTGGATTGGGCCTGGATAAGTTATTGGATGACACCAATATTGAAGGGCTCAACAAAAGTTGCAATTTTGTTTCTTTAAATCTTTTATCCATCTCAAATCCAAACCTCTCTATCAAAATAACTGGACACGGAGGTTCGTTTTCACTGCAATTTTTAACTAAGTGAGCTTGAATATCGTGAATTATAATAGAAACGGTAACATCCAAAGGTCTACAACGCCGAGGGTCGAATGGACACTTACTATTATCAGTAGAGTCGTCAAAAGATATGTCATTGTTTTGATTTATACTGCTCCTGTCATTCAACTTTGTAGAATTCTCATTTGTCCAATGGAATGTATCCTTGTTTGGGGACTTCTGCATGTCTGTGAAAGTTTGATCTTCTCCAAAAATATTTTCTAATAAATTCATGAAACTAGTGATGATAGTTCCATAAGCAATAAGTATAGAAGGGCCTACTTCCAGTTCCACACTAACTTTGTCAGGTGGAAGTGAAGCTCGATCGAATTTGTTTCCATCCATTGTCCAATTCATTTGTGGCTGCTTTCGCATTCGGGGTATTCTCATAGGTGATAAAAGAATTTCCTCTTTTTCTGGAGTTGTTATATCTGCCTGAGGTTCCGGCCCCAAAGGAGGTATCGGATGATAATTATATCTGACACTTAAAGCCACAATAGGAACTGACCAACAATCCACCCACCCTTGTGATTTAACGCATTTTCTTCTCCATTTTGAGGCTTTTAACCTGCAGGGGACTAATTTCATGTTCTTGTCAAGAGATAACAGAAGTAATCTAGAGGTGTTAACTTCTGGCAAGTACAGGCTCATATCGACAGCTTCACCTTGGATCCATATCTTAAGAGGTATAAAATCAGGCAAGAAATCAATGAAGGGCAAGTCAAAAGACACATCCAGAAGGTCACCGCAAAATGCTACGTGATTGTTTTCTTGATTAGTAGAACTACAATCGATCCAGTTGTACTGATTGCTCACAGTGACTACTTCACATTCCTTCAGTAGCAAAGAGATTTTCCAAGTGTATGGCACAAAGTGTAAGATATCTGGTCGAGCTTTACTTGACCAATCATTGATTAAATCTTGGAAAAAGTCTATATGAGTATAAACAAGGTGAATAGTCGCTTTGCATCCTGTCAAGCCTAATTGCCAACACTGATGATGGTTCCAAACAAGAGGATAGTGGCATTTAACTGTATATTCTAAAGTTTCACTCTCTGCCAAACTTCGATACTGAAGACTTGTAGTTGCTTCGAGATGCAACAGCTGACCTGTGATTTTTGTTGTGTATCCGTCCTGCAAGACTATCCAAGGCAATGTCACTTCCAAGTACGATCCAGCCCCAATATTTATATGGACAGCATTTGTTTCTTTATTTTTTGTGAAAAGTATGTCTATTGTAGCTTCATTCAAAGTAGACAGCCTAATATCAAATGACTGCATTTGTCTCCTATCACCAGGCTTTGGCTGTGGAGTAACTTCCAAATTTTTGTAGTTTGGAGGAAAAAAGAATTTAAATAAGTGATCTCTTTGTCTATCTGCCCATGGACCGTAACTAAAGTCTGTACCTTTACCACATTTTATATCTACACCCCAAATTGGCGGCGCTGATTCGACAATGTCACCATTCGCTAACTGCAGTAACACTGGTTGTTCGGGAACTAATCCTGGTTCATCCATATAGAAATAAACTTCAATATAATTGGAGCTCATCACAACAAATCCTTCACCCATGTACCTTGGGGGTTCATCAACCATAGCAGTGTAATTTGGACTTGGTGCTAAAATCACCTTACAATTTTCAGCCTTGGCTTTAACAAAATGCATTAAATGATCTAAACTAGAAGCTGGTGGTTTTGTACTGTAGACAAGATGAGCTTCTTCAACACTTATGGATAGAGTAGTGGGAACAAGGCGGTTTCCAAATACGACTCTGCCAGAACAAATATCGATTTTAATCACTGGTATTAGATCCCGCCATGTACGTGCCATGGCAGCTTCTGATCTTACTGTATCTTGTGCTCGTCTCCTTTTTTCATTAGCGTCATTCATCGCCTTGTCGCGGTCTGTGAAATCATCCTCATTTTGTTGTTTAATGACTGAGTCAAGCCCAAAGGTTTTTTCCAGTTCATTATAAAGTTCACATCTATTATAAAAGTGTAACTCAAAACCATTCAGCATGATAGAAAGACGGGTGTCAGAATGTGATAAATCTGTAACAATAAATTAATCTATTTAAATCTAACCAACTTCAAAAAAGAGAAAGATATCTATTCCAGTAAAAAATAAAAGTGCATTCAGACGACACGAGTTAGATAGGCGCATAGCACGCGCGTCAGCACCGGCGTCTTAAACAACATTACAAGTACTTTTCAAATAGAGTAGAATTGAATCTAATTTATTTGAGAGGGTATATACCAAATTGAGTTTAATTTCATAAGGCTTGGATCATTAGTTATTTCTATAAATGTCAAAAATTAATGATAAACCTCTTTAACACTTACCAATAACAGTTCTTTTTTAATGAATACTGATATAAATAAATTTAGATAAATAACAATTGAGCTTTTAATTTGACATCACAAATGCACAATTTTTTCCTATAATTAAGTATTGTTAATAGTTCAAATCTATGAAGATTGATGTTTATTAATTTCATTTTTCAATCTTATGTTTTAAGCAAATTGTTTTATTTGACCATGCCAAAATAATTACTAAACTGTGATCTTGGCCATCTGCTATTATTAGATGTAACTTAGCTAACAGTGTATTGTCATCTAAATTAAACCTGCATGCAAAATTCAAAACCGGGGGCTGAGGGGTAGTATGGTACGGGCCCCTAATGAGGTTAGTCTGCCACTGTGGTTGAGGATAACTACTACAAAATACAATTACAAGAACATATGAACATACACAAATGAATTAATTGCAAGTAAATAAAAGCTTATACAAATAATAACTACAATTTCAATAAAGTTCCACCAAATGTTATTGACCTATCCATAAATAAAAATGGGAAATTAATGTAAAGAACATACTTATGAGTAAAGGCTATTATAAAGTTGATGATTATTTTAAGGATTGCAATGCATGGAATTAATAGCCTTCACATTGTTCTATAATGACTTATTATATGTACTACCTATGATTTACAGACTTTGAAAGTTGTATTTATTATTGTGATAATACATATAATTTTGGTAATGACATGATTTATGTAAATGTCATTACTTATGATAAAGGGCTGGTAAGTTTCGTTCGCTTGTCGCTTGAAAAAAAAAAATTTTTGGACGATTCAAAAGTGCTTGTAATAAACCTACTTGAATAAAGATATTTCAATTTCATTTCAGCAAAAATATATGGAAAACAAATTTTTACTGTAATGAAAAATTGGTTACATTTAGGTCTAATTTAGGATAAGAAAAACATTCAATAAAACATCATGTCATTATATTATTGTGTCTCACCTTCAGATACATCTTTAGGCACATAGGATCTCCACCACCTGAATATTAAATACCCATCCTGGATACGGAGAGTGTAGTCGTAGTTGATATATACAATATCTCGGAACATGATTTTGCCAGATAATGCATTGAGTGTGAAGGAACCTGGAATTTTGATAAAAATCAAAACTTTTAGACAAATTCAAAACTTACAGAAATCAAAGACAATCTCCACAGCAAAGTGGTTCGCACTCCGGTTTCAAGGTGTCTCCATCTCTTAGGACCCTGGTTCGATTTAATCAGATCTATACAGAAAATAAACTTTTCTATATTTCTCATGTCTGGGTATTGCCATACCTTCATTGTCTTCAATATTCCATATTACAGGGGCTTTAGATGGTCATCTTAGAATTTGAGCAATATATGTGATGATGTCTTAAATTTCTTTATTTATATTTTATTAAAGATACATGTGGTTGCATTTCAGGTTACAATATGCCGTTTTTTCACCATTTTAAACTCTATGCTTAATCTATTAAAAGATTAAAATACATTGGTGACTGTACATATAAATAAAATATAAACTTATGGATTTTGATGCATGCACTGTCTGCATAATATATGTTGTATATCTCAATTTATTTCCATTATATGTAAACAAAAACATACTTGAAATATATGATATAAACATTGAAATTAGAAGCATGTAGTGGTCTATTTGTAAATAGTATTGTTAGGAATTTACATAATTTGTTTTACTATCAGTAGAAATACTGATAACAAATATTCATTTTATAAAGCTAACAAGTAATTGAAGTTTATGATGATAAGCCGCTTTGTTTGAAGAAACACTCATTAAATTTCTCCAATTCTTTTAAAAATGAATACTCACCTATTTTGAAGTTTTCATCTTGAAAGTAGAATTTATTAATTAGTCTAGTCAGTATATAGCCGAGAACGCGGCTATTATAGTACGTTATATAAACGACCCATAACATAGCAGATACAAGGGAAACCAGTAGGAGGGCGAAGTTTCTGTCTATAGTTATTTCGGCAAAATCTAGTGACGACGAATTCCATCTTTGGGCCACTGGATCGTCTACCACTGTTATATTATCCCTGCAATTAGAAATAAGCATTCAGTTTGACAAAACAACAAATGAACTCTTTTGATTCAACTTTGTACACAAACATGATAAAATTTACGGAAACGCAAATCATAATAACATTTGCATTTTGACTTACATTTTGGTGGCGTAACAATTCAGTAATATATTTCACATAATGAAAGAGCACTAAAAAATTGGATAATAGTATCATTGGAAGCAGTATTTTCTGCGTTTCTTTTCTTATCAATTATTCATTGAAACAGAACTATACATTGATAGAATCTGACTGACACACGAGTAGGGATGCCAAAAGTAGAAGATAGGATAAATACGTCATAATCGATATTGATATTAAAAAAATGTTCAATCATATTAAACACTAGTTATTTTCCCGCGACTTTTATCACCAGTTTGTGATTTAGCTTCCCGTGAAAGAATTCTCATGATCGAATCAGTATTTCATCTGTATTTTAGGAGCGTCTTCCCAATAATATTTCTAACATATACCTTCGTTAATAAAACGCCTTCTCTTACGAATTGCCTAAGCAAATTAATTTAATTCCAAACAAATATATTTTTCTTTTATGCCTTGACATATTTACCTGTTATAGCAGATAGCATGCTAACTTAGAGCAAGTTTGATTTTTCTTTGATTCTAAATTGCTGCGTCAAATATACGAGACAAGTTTATCACAATGTCGCTGCAATATTATTATGTTAAATTTGAAGTTTCAAGTTTGCGACAATATTGTTTGAATATTGTTATGATAAAGATACTTATTTGTAACACATCCGTCATCTGCATAGGTGCCCGAATAGTTCTAAGTATGCAGACTAGATGGCGCTGTTCATTTGATGCATTGCGGTATCAATTAAATTGTTTAAGTAATATGCCGTTTAATGTGATCTTATTATGGGATTCGAAACCAACCAGTTAATTACTTTGGCTCTTAGGCTAGGTTCTGTGCTGTAGTCAGAGTTTAAAATAGCAATGGCTTTTGGACCAAAAGTTTTGAATGATCAAAAGATTTAATAAAACCTTTGTAAACTTAAAGTAATATTTGCCTCGAAACCTGTATTCCAGGTACTCGAGTACCCGAGCACCTGCTAGGTATTCAAATACGAGAATTTTCCTAGGTACACTCGCACTACCTTTGATACGTCGAAGGTAGTGCAAGTTTATCACACTGAAACTAAAAAGTTTGATTTAAACAAGCTGCACGTTGCTGCAGTTGTCATGTCAAACTTGAAGCAAGTCTTCTTTTTTGTTGTATCAAACTTTTTGCAAGCCAGAAATAAGTTTAAATTGCTGTCTGGGTAGTGTTCTGCATGGCTGACTCAAATACAGGAACAGGAACAGGAATGATCCATGTCGTTTTCCATATTTCCGAAAAGACTGCCGATTCTAAACTCAAATTATAGATGTGTGCCAGTAGTTCAGCCATAACATACAGTCTCTGAAAATAAAAGGTGGGATTCCATCATGACCGAAAGATCTTTTGGCACAAGCTTGATGAGCGCTCTTAATACGTCGGTGGGTTGAAATTTTTCTACCTGTACTCGTGCTGACCCATTCAAATTTCCCACCTCTGCTACACCTTACCAACATTCAGTTATGCCATGTGCGTGTTCTTTGCTGTAAACTGAGTGAAAATATTCTGCAAACTCATTTACGCTTTTTTTTTTTGTCAATACCACCTAATTTTTTTAACTTATCCGTGTAGTCCTATTAATGATTTACATGATTCCAAAAAGATCTATGGTCTTCAATCATATGTTATTGTAACCTATCGTTTTAACAGTTATGAGCTTCTTTTATTAATGTTTAGACCTTTGCCTGGATCGCCTTTTATTAATGTTTTGATGTTTGCCCTGTTTTGACAAATGCTCTATAATCCGTTTGTGATTTACTAGTTTTGCATCTTTTATGGAGGATAGCTTTACATTTTATTTTATTAATATTAATTCGAAGTCATATCACTCCGGGTAATTGTATGTAGATGTTTAATATTTTGAATTTTTAATGAAATACAATTATTGAAAATATCATAAATAATTGAAGCGTTGGGTTGTAGATGAGGGGTGAGAAGCACCCCCCAGGCTTCAGGTATAAAGAATAAAACTAAAAATAAAGTTTAACAATCTTTATTTTGTTCTCAGGGGGTAGGTAAAGATATTCGCTCGCTATTATATATATTCGCTCTTGTATCTGGTATTATGAGGGGAGGACTTAGTTTTCTAGTAAATTTAGGGTATTATGTGGTGAGTTCATGGAGTCAGCGTCACGGGCCGGGCAGAGGCTGACAAGGGTGTAGACCCGTCGTCAGCTCCGGTCAGCAGCACCGAAAGTCCACGAAGCTCAGAAGGACTGGGGTAGAAGAAGAACCCTGTTAAAATAAATACAGCACTGAATAGAAGTTCAATAAGTGCGGCTACCAGTGGCCGCACTTATAGCTTCTATAAAAATCTACCGGCTAAAAAAAATATAAAAACGTGTGTTTCAAATGATATCAAAAATCATTTAGAATGAAATTAAAATAAAATATGCTATGATAATAATCTGTAAGTTAAAAAAATACAATTAATCATATATTAAATTACACAGGAATCGAACCCGCACTTCAAGTAAAACGAAAGCACTAAGTGTTCCATTTAAAATCATCTAAATTTCAAGGTTATCAAAGTTATATTGAGTTTCAATATTGCATAATATTGAAACTCAATATTGAATTTTATGTTAAATATGAAGTTTCAAGTTTGCGATAATATTGTTATGCCAAAGATACTTATTTATAACACACAAATCATCTTGATAAGTGCCCGAATAGTTCTAAATCTACAAACTAGAAGGCGCTCTTCATTAATTGCATCGCAGTATCAGTTTAAGAGTAGCTCGGTGGCGTAGTGGATAAGCGCCGCGGCCCGCGATCGTAGTCGTTAAGCAACTTTTGCAAGGGTCGGTCACGGGATGGGTGACCAAAAAATTATTATCTCGAGATACTTCGTGCTTCGGAAGGCACGTTAAGCCGTTGGTCCCGGCTGCATTTGCAGTCGTTAATACCCTCTAATCTGCATTGGGCAAGCGTGAAGGTTCATGGCCCATCCTCCTTAACCATCCATAGGGACGCCTGAGCCCCTGCAATAGGGACGTAAAAGGGCTGGTGATGATGATGATGATGATGATGATCAGTTTATATTGTTAAATTGTATAAAAAATATGCCGTTTAATGTGATCTTAATATGGGATTCGAAACCAACTGATCCAGTTAATTACTTTGGCTCTGTGACTAGTTTTTGTGCTGTTCTGAATTTAAAGTCGCAATCGCTTTTGGACCAAATGTTTTCAATGACCAAAAGATTAATTAGAACTTAGTAAACTTAAAGTAATATTTGCCTCAAAACCTGTATTCCAGGTACTCGAGTACCCGAGTACCTGCTAGGTATTCGAGTCAGGTCTGTAGTAGTAATAATGATTTTCCTAGGTACACTTGCACTACCTTGAAGCGTCAAAGGTAGTGCAAGTTTATCACACTGAAACTAGAATGTTTGATTTAAACTTGCTCGTCATGGCAAACTCGTTGCAAGTCTTCTTTTTTGATCTATCAAACTTGTTGCAATTCAAAAACAAGTTTAATTTGCCATCTAGTTTGTAGACTATTCGGACACCTATCAAGATGATGGATGTTTGTCATAACAATATTCAAACAATGTTATCGCAAACTTGAAACTTCATACTTAACATAACAATATTGCAGCGACATTGTCACAAACTTGCCTCGTATATTTGACGCAGCAATTTAGAATCAAAGAAAAATCAAACTTGCCCCAAGTTAGCATGCTATCTGGGGTGATAATTCAATAGTTTATAGAGAAACACTAAATCAAATTGCTTTCGACGATCCTTCAATGATATAAGTTTGTGACGTTTTAAAGAGTCTATTTTCGGTTCGTCGTTATTATATATACGGTAATTTAATATTTAAAAAAATTTTCTCTGTACTTTTTCGATTCGATTAACATCCACTTTATAATAAAGGTTCCATATAACACTACCAAAGTCTAAAACCGAGCGTACAAAAGAATAATAAAGTATTTTGAGAGTTAATTTTTTGGCATGGTTTAGAAACCCAATTAATGAAACCAAAATTGCGAAATGATCTTTGTACAATTGACTCTATATTTAATTAAAACGAAAGCTTATTGTCCATCATTATACCTAAATCACGAATAATATTTACTCTTTTCAAAGTTGTATTACTGATTTTGTATTCAAAAATATCCGGCTTGCGCTTTCTCATATATGATACAATACGACATTTATCAGTGTTTAGTAATAATTGATTTTCAGCGCAATATTAAGACAACGAATCCAAGCTGGATTGCAAACTATAACAGTTATCTAAACTAGATAGTTTAAAAAAAATTTGTGTCATCTTCATATTGCAGATAACTTCAATTATTCAATAAGTCATTAATATCGTTAATACAGCGTGTTTGGTAATACCTGTATAATCCCGAATATGACACATACGGTATGATGAATAGAACCCAGAAAAATGATCACTAAGACTGAAACCCAGCACATGACCTAGATATTCAGCTTTTTTTCTTCGAAGTAAAACTGTACGCTGACAACCCTAAAAACAGCTGTTGTGTTGTATTTGGTCATCGACTCCATGTGCCGAACTAGTTTAAAAAATAACAGAAGTTAAATAAATCTAAAGATAAATGCCTAGAATAAATATGCATCTGAGAGGAATTTATTATTTCCAAACAAAGAAAAAGTTGTCTTTTTCTTTGTTTGGAAATAATAAATTCCTCTCATCTTGTGATTAACGGTGTTTCAAAAACTATTAATATGAAAACTTCTGTAATTACTATTTGCAATTTCTTTTTTACAGTTAAAATAAAAAAGAAATTGCAAATACTTTGATTGAAGTTCAATATCTGCACTATTGCTCACATTAGTCTATGCAAGAAGGAGCGACAGAGACATAAAATCGACGACGTTGTGTATTGAGAAACTCGGGTTTCTGATGTGTCAGTAAGGTTCTGTAGATTAATAGCTTTGAAGTTTTGTTATTTTTTTCATAAAACCGTGTTATCTTCACGAAACAATAAAATACGGACTTACACAATGATATTAATAATGTAAGTATCTCGCTTATTCTTAGTTTAAATGATAATTAAATACAGGTTAGTTGTAATGGAAAGGTCTAATAATAAATAATATTTCTTTTCTTTTCTAATTTAATCAATAATTTTTTTAAGCCTTATAATTTTGATAATGACTTGGTCTTAAATTAGGTAACCACTTTTAATATTATGGCCTTTTTTTCTTTTGTAACCGTGAAAAACGTAAATAAAATTGTAATAATAAGTAAACAGCCTAATTATCAATTTCGTCAGTAAAAAATAGTATGATAAATTACTTTGAAATTTCATTGTTTAATTCAAGTAACACAGAATTTGATGACGCGGAACCCCAAAAATCGGTGCACTTTTGATTTAGGTACATTGGTGTTCGAGTTGCAATAATAATAACCTATGTAGTTTTGGTCATCGCGTCAGTCGCATCCGTGACTTTCATCGGCGTACTTGTGAGTTTTCAGAATTTAGAAGGTCAACTTACGTTTTCATTCTTTCGGGATTTTTGGTCTGTTTTTCATTCTCGTTCTTTTTACCTGTGTATTATGTTTGTGTGCAGTCAGTGCAATGAATTCGTACTCAAATGCCTAATATTACGAGATGATAATGTGTGGCGGTGCTTGTGACGGTAATCTTGCTGCGGCTCGGCGGCGTTATGACGAACGCCACGTGTCAGGAAGATCTGAAAACCATCGACGTCATCCTTCTTACCGGTGATTCGCGGCATTTGTGAATTGGTTACATACAACTGGTTCATTCCATAGTGTGCCACAGGTAGGCCGGCCGATCACCTATTCCATCGAGACAGAGGATATGACTTTACGTCGAGAGTAACACGACACGGTCTGTGTCGAGTCGAATGGAGATGTGTGTTTTATGCGGTGGCCGGCATATCGAGACCCTGGACTGATAAAGTGGAGGTGAAGTGTAGGTAATGTTGACAAGTGAAAGCTGAAAGAGTGATTAGAACGCTGTAGGTATGTACCTATTTAATCTTAAATTGTTTTAATTACAAGTAAACTCATACGTAGTCGAGTGCGCGCGTCGGCAACATCAAAATGTATTCAAGGAAACGAGAGAGTGAGAGGTAATGAGAGAGAGAGAGAGAGAGAGAAAGAGCGAGTGCGCCGGGACGGCACGTATAAGCTTACAGGGTTGTAGCATAGTAATTGAAAACAAATTGTTCAAATATTTGTATGAAAATATCAATTTACGTGAAATTGTTTTTTGACCTATCAATTGTGTTCTTTGTGCTAGGTTGTATGGCCATGTTTCGGGATTATACAGGTATTACCAAACACGCTGTATATAAGTAATATAGTACTGGACCAAGATGTGAGCCCTGAGGAACTCCCGATGCTAAAGGTAAATAAGTTGAACCACAGCCCTTCAGACTTACAGCCTGGCAACGATTTTTTACATAAGAATCAAACCATCTGAGTAAATTTTCATTTAAATTTTGTAAATTCATGTAAATTTTCTCCAAAGTTTCTGTCATCATCAGCCCTTTTACGTCCCCACTGCAGGGGCTCAGGCCTTCCTTATGGATGGTTAAGGAGGATAGGCCATGACCCTCCACGCTGGCCCAATGCGGATTGGAGGGTATTAACGACTGCAAATGCAGCCGGGACCAACAGCTTAACGTGCCTTCCGAAGCACGGAGTAGCTCGAGATAATAATTTTTTGGTCACCCATCCCGTGACCGACCCTTGCGAAAGTTGCTTAACGAGAACGATCGCGGGCCGCGGCGCTTATCCACTACGACACCGAGCTACTTATTTGTCTGCGGCACACTGCGGTAAAGTTTCTGTATTAATATGTTATGATTAATTTTATCAATTGCTTTTGAGAAATCGATATACACGTCTTAACGCTCGAATCGTATTAACGCTGCGTGATTTTATAAATTAAATGTTGTATGGAACTAGATCGATAGTGAGTCACTATTTTGTCCAATAGTTTGCCGAAGACATATAATTTTGAAATAGGAAATATCTTTGTTTTTTAGGTATAGGTGTTATAAGAGCTTTTGTCCACGTATTCGGAAATTAATTATCATCATAAAATCACTACTTTTGATTTTATATAATGACATAAGTGGTATAAATGTTAGTCTATAACTTTAATACAATATCTAGTCAATAACATATAAACATTATCTAGTCAATAACATTAATTTATTGATAGACACTAATAAAGTTGATCTATTATTATTTCCTGATGACAATCGATTGAGTAGCTCGGTGGTGTAGTGGATAAGAGCCGGGGCCCGCGATCGTAGTCGTTAAGCAACTTTCGCAAGGATCGGTCACGGGATGGGTGACACTCCGTGCTTCGAAAGGCACGGTAAGCCGTCGGTCCCGGCTGCATTTGTAGTCGTTAATACCCTCCAATCCGTATTGGGCCAGCGTGGAGGGTCATGGCCCATCCCTCCATAACCATCCATAAGGAAGGCCTGAGCCCCTGCAGTGGGGACGTAAAAGGGCTGGTAATGATGATGATGATGACAATCGGTTTATTATTTTTATATAAAAATAAATCTGATATAATTAATCGGTATTTCGAATTTGAAAGTACATCCCTACACACTTAAGAAACAAGATGTCAATATTTTAGTGTTTTGATTTAAGAGCAAACGAGTTTATAGCATACAGATTAGATATTAAATTTCATCTATTGTCACTAAAACCACAGATTTATATAAATGTTAAAAATTTTGTTAGTGTTAGTACTTAGTAGTAGCGATGAGTCGTTATCCATTTTTAAAATTACGTAACTTAACCGCTATCAAATCGTCAATCACTGATATCAAAACTGTCTATTTTTGATAACTAGTTATTTCTACAACTCTCAAAGTCAAAGCGAATCTTACTCTAGACGCGATAAAGCTCAATTTTGGGTTGTTTACTTGATCACTCCGAAAGCCGAGCAACGCGGAACATGCAAACATATACCTATTTCATTCACACGTATATGACATTATGTTGTTGTTTAATTCACATATTATAGGTTGCATTGATAAAATTATAATTATAAAGTGTAAAGCATCGATGCGAACTGTGATCGCCGCTTCTTGGTGATCGCGGTTATTGTAAAGCGAGTCGCCCACACATCAACCTCAACTAATTTAATTGAGAGTGAATTCAGCTTTACTTTAAAGCGTTGTGGAAAATCGAAAGTTATTGTATCACCCCAGATAACATGCTAACTTGGGGCAAGTTTGATTTTTCTTTTTTCTAAATTACTGCGTCAAATATACGAAGCAAGTTTGTGACAATGTAATACTTGCACTAACTCTGATACGTCAAAGGTAGTGCAAATTTGTCACACTGAAACTAGAAAGTTTGATTTAAACTTGCTGCAAGTTGCTGCAGTTGTCATGGCAAACTTGAAGCAAGTCTTCTTTTTTGATGTATCAAACTTGTTGCAAGTCAGAAACAAGTTAAAATTGCTATCTGGGACTGAATCACTAGTGATTCAGGCAAATCACTAGTTGAATAACTGTTTATCGCGAAAAATGTCAATCACTACTTAGTAGTATTAAGTTGTTTAAAAGCCAGTCATATCATCTCAATCGAAGGCGCGGCAACACCAAAAGGAACAGAGAGAAAAAAATACAGGAAAAAGACATGAAGGAAGTGATTCAATCCAAGAATTTTAGATATCATAATGTTGCTATCAAAGTCAAACATAACAATGAGGATGTATTTAAAAAAATGGAAGCACTAAAAACGCACCTCCACTAAATGGCGACTTTAGCAAAAGTTGATTTTTGCAGGAAACGAATGGACCAAAGACAGTCATTTCCGTTCCTTTTAAATAACATATTAAAAAACTGAAATTTGAAATGTTCGAAACTTACTTTTAAACTTGAAAAAAAAACCGGAAAGGTTGTCATGGAGAAATCAAGAACGTACCGTAGCGACATCTAGTTTGATTTTGGGAACTAATGTTTTTTTTAAATACTTCCTCATTCTACCCACACGCACTATTCTTGTGGTCTTTTTGCTGATTCACTAATCACCATATCGTTTCATTGTTTATATTGTTTACTTGAATGATATATTTTTATGAAAAACAACACAACGAAAATTAAAATAACAATAATAAATCAATAAAATAAATATTAGGGTCGATATAGATTGTATAATTACGACTGTAGATGCAATAAAAAAGGCTTTGCCTTGAATAACCGTGGAATAAACCAATATGTTAAAGTCAACCTATGAACTTTAATCGGATTCTTCCGATTAAAACCCAGATACCTGTTGATAGTTCAATAAATTTGTAATCGGTATACAGACATCATACAAAGGTGGACTTAGCGTGGTTCTCCTAGCCAGATCCCTCCCTTTTATAGTACAAATATGTATAAATGATCCGCAAAGCCCTTCCATGGGTATTCATCTAAGATAATTTAAACACTTATTTTAGTATCCATGGGCAACCAATACTTATGAAAAAACTTTTTCGTTGCTATGATGGTGGTCTCTTTGCTTTGCTATGATTAATTGTAATCTCAGATGAAGTAGTTTATTTATACTATATATTTAAACAACGAATTCGATCATAGTTTTCAATTTCTCTTTGTCATTTATTTAATATCTAATGTTTATTTTATAGAGTAAATGGGTACAATTATTGAATAGGTAATATTGTGTAAAGTAAAAAATTCTATCCACAAATATATTTATTATTCAGGAAAATGGCAGACACTATACACGAAAATAAATCTATGATAATGAATCCAAAAGTGAGGTAAGATAAATTGAATCAATAACACACCCATTAAGTATATAAAAAAATATTTTTCTTGTACACGCATAGGTAACTATTATAATATAAGTGCGCTATAAGTATTTGTGGATTACAGGTTCCCATTATCTCATTATATTTACAGTAATCTTTATATTGCTTGTTTGTCTATCTTTGAGGATTCTATTCCCAACTTGTGCACCTAAAACTGTCTATTTTTATGGTATATTATTTTTGATAATACAAAGAGTTTTCATAAAGCTAGCAAGGTAATGGCAGAAGTTAGTGTGATACGCACCTAATCTTTTCTTTTTCATCGTTTCAGATGGGTCATTCCAAACAAAGTGCAATCAGTAACGTTTGTCGGAAGAGATGTATTCGCCATCGCTCACGATATATACATTGTATTTTTCAACTTAAAAAATAATTCTGAACTAGTATATGTTGCAAATAGTGACAAAACTGGCGATGGGGTTGACGTCGTTGCAGGCAATGAAATAGCCTTATTTAATTTAAAACGAAATATCAAATTGCTGTAACGGATTTTCAACTTTAAATTAGCATATAAGTACCATTCTTTCAATGCAGAAATATAAGATGTTTTTACGATTTCTGGATTGTTGTTGATTGTACATAGGTGCTTTATGTGTATGTTTATAGAGGTATCATTATCTTAGAATAGAATAATTACTTATATATATTTTCAGGATACAAAACAAATACATTTGCTTTTTCGGAAAAAGTAAATAATGGTAGAATTTTTATAATAAATTATCCTTCATTTATGATAGTTGCCGAATTGAAAGGTAAGTTGGAAGAAAAGAGGTAATTGAAATATACGTAAACTATTGATTATTTTAAATTTATATTGGTTTTTCAGATTTCACATACCTGACACTTTTTGTGATGATTTGATATAATTTTAAGATGAATATCAAAGTATATAGAAAATTTCTCCCTATTAATGATTGTTTCGCATACCCCTGGGTATCCTACCATACCCCGGATATACAGGTATATAATTGAGGTCAAATGTAATAAATTTACCAGATACCAACGTGAACCGGTACAAAGGTTTGTGCATGATGGAGTGCGAGCTAGTTGCGGGGTTCAGCGGTTTCCCCAACTACCTAGTGACGGTATGGAACTGGCGAACGCAGCAGCATCTCATCTCATGTTCCACCGGCGTCATCGGCCGCAGACAAATATATAAGTAGGTTTTGAACAGCAAAAACAGTTCCAAAGATGTCCAATTGAATAAACCTTTCATTTCGTGAATTTTCTCTCTTTCTATAAATATTTATTTATTAGATTTATTAGCTGGACGGGGGACCTTACTTAACCTGCCCCTTCCAACATGATCTGGAAGTTGTCTTATGCATCCAAATATTACCCCCAATCTCCCGAGTTGTGCTATTGATCCCAGTTTTATGCTGGGCGTTTTTGATCGTTCCAAAGTTCTCTTTTGGCTCCATAGTCGGTCGTTTGTTGACCCCTAAATACATTAATGGACATTGGTACTTATTGTTCTTATATTATCAGGGCCAGTCGTACACACATGCTGTTATGTGAATGTTGGGGTGAGGGCTTGATTGTGTGGGAAGTGGCGCAGTGTCACAAGAAAACGCTAACATTGCGTCGAGCTAAAGAGGAGGTCACGGGTTGGGAAGTATCTGAGCCGCCTCTAATAGACGTATCTTGGAGTAATGAAGGTCAACTTTACGCCATTGATCCAAACGCTAACTTATACAGTGTAAGTATTACAACAGGTAAAGAGAAAAGGTAGAAGAGAAATAAGAGCCGTTTTTAAGTTGTTGTTTTTATTTATTTGATGATGGAGTGAGATGGAAACGGAACAAGTATCTAAATATCAGTCCTATTAATGAAAAATACCAAATCATCGATAATGATTAAAAATGTAACTGAATTCGTGTATCGGTACTAGATTAGTGTTTTTTTATTTATTATTTTCTATGCTTACAGGTTTTATCTGATGGAATTGGTATGGTGACTAATCTCGAATGGTCAGAGGGCTTAGAAGGCCCTAATAAGGCTTGTTTTTGTACATTTGGCTGCGGATTTCTCATATATGGTCCTGATAAATTAATAAGGGTCAGTAAATTTTCGTAATTGAACTTTAAACTTCTGATCATGACAATATTTAGGTTCTGTAGGTGCATTTAACTTTTACTTGGTGGGGCAAAGCAATACAAAAATAGCCCCATAAAGTGATGTCTTTTTTTTCGTTCATGAAATTACTTTTTAATAAATTAAAAATACTTACTCTTAGTATTGTTTTTGTATTATCAGTCCCTGAAAAAGGTTGACCATACGTGGAAAGTGGTGTGGTCCTACGAGCCCTTAGACATTGTGACGTGCCTGGTAGGAAATGCAACGTGTGACACTGCAGCAGCCTGGACTCAGATCGGACTCGGCTATCGATTGACTGGAGAATCCGAAGAGAAGATCGAAGTCAAGTTACTCACATTTAAGCAGAGGTATTTCATTTCTGAATCTACAGGTGTTAACTTCAAAAATTATAATACTAACGAGAAAAGATATTTACAGAAATATTACAAAGATTCAGTTGATTGCTCCCGAGTATAAATATATTGCAACCATAAACGACACTGGCGTCGTATGTATTTACAATGCTTGGAACGCAAATCTTGTAAGTGGTTTAATTGAGTTGGGTTCTGCTTATTTTTCAATGTTTCATATTAAAATATATATTTTTTTAAATAGGTTTCAATTAAATACATCAAGGGAGAAGATATCTCGTTTGAAGCGAGCCCAGTAGACCCATTATTAGCGGTGTACGGACTAATGGGTTCAAATTATGGCCTCATGTTAGCTTTATTAGAAGATGGCGGGGCTGATGAGATCGGCGAGACAGATGGAACTGACGAGGCAGCAGATGGGAGTGAATCACATCCACGGAAAATAAAAAGCGAGGCCATACCAGTCGAGCCGCAACTGCGCAAAATCACTGCCATGTGCCTTACACATCAAATAGTATCTCACGTCGTGTTCTCGCCCACAGGCCGCGAAATAGTTGCCGGAGCCATGTCTGCCGGCCATATATTTATTATGCGGGTATTTTAAAATCTGTACATATTCATTTTTTATAGGTTTCCGAAGGAGCTTACTTAATGTATACAAGTAATTTTTCTTTCCATACCAAATTGTTAGTATAATGTTCAAGATATCAACGATATATTTTACAGAAGACATTTCGTCCATTTTCTTTTTGTTATTCTCAAATTAGTTAGATTCATTAAAAAAAAAAACATTCGTAGCTGTCCAAAGATTACAAATTGACTTTGGTGCGGTACACGGAACTGGGTCGTGGTCTCGCCGACTGCTTCCTGATGAAGGTCGGTGACGCCATGCGTTGTTTCAGCCTCGTCCTCTTCTCCGATAAGTATGCCATCGGTGAGTGCTTTTAAGTCCCAAAAAAAATAAATTTAAGAGTATGTTTTCATGATAGGAATTAGTAATTCCGAAGATTACCCCTACAAAAAAAAAAAGCAAAGTTAGAAACTTTACCTCCTTACATTATAATATCGATTTTATTTTTTACAATAAATAACTAATTTAATATAATTTTCAGGCGAGCGTGTAATTTGCATTAATGCGGAAACAGGAAAAGATAATAAATTTGCGGGTAAAATGCAAGGACCGTACGCCCGGCTTTTACCCCTTGCCATTCGGGACACAATGCTGGCTATACCCCACCTTTCCACCAAGTACCACGTACTGCGGCTAACTGGCGATGTGAGTTTATATTAAATACCAATATAGTCCACCGATACATTAATGTCTCCATGGTAATAATACCACGAATTGCAGACTTGCTGTCTACCCTGAACCTGTGATCTAAACCACCATTTCTACGGCACTCCCGCTTATAAGAATGCTGAACCTGGCATGCAAGTTATCTATACTAATATTATAAAGCTGAAGAGTTTCTTTGTTTGTTTGAACGCACTAATCTCAGGAACTACTAGTTCGAATTGAAAAATTATTTTTGTGTTGAATAGACCAGTTATCGAGGAAGACTTTAGGCTATATAACATCACGCTGCAACTATTAGGAGCAAAGAAATAATGGAAAACGCGGACGAAGTCGCTGGCAGCCACTATAACTTATATTGTCAAAACAAACAAACCTAGATTACGTTGACTAGACATATCAGGGCTTCTTGTTGCTATTGTTTTTATATGATTTATTGTAATCCAATAAATAAATATCAAATATTCCATGATAGGATGTAATTAGAAATCAACAAGTAACACTCCAAAAATTTCAATTGCCACAGAAAGGTGTTACGGTTTCTGTGAAAATGGGCCCCATCGTAGAAACAGGACATCAACTGAAACAGTTCAACGCTTTTTACAACGTAGGAGCGTTGCTGACCTTTGGCTACGACGGAGCTGTCATAATACGCCAGCCTGAGGCACCTGAAGAATTTGGTACATCTAAGTTAATGCTTTATATACATTTGACTAGATCACATACATCACTCAGTTCCTAAGTGAAGTCTAAATAACTTCTATGTATAATGGAAATGTGAAACAAGGAAGTTGATATGACACCTAGAGCGGAGACAATATCGGAATAGAAAAGTTAATCTTCTATATATATATATATATATATATATGACGATAATGCTGATAATCAAAAACAGAACAGGATTTTGATGACAAAATTTAATTATTTTAGAATCCCAACTTTTGGTTACTCATCGTTACGAGCAAGGTATCAAGCAAGCTGTTATAGACACCGAAAATGAGTACATGGTCCACCTCGCTGGTAACAAAACTGTTGCTTGCGTTTTTCTTCACTCAGACGACGCATGCCTTACCCATGAACCTCAACATACGATACGGCCAGAACTGTTCGAAGAAGATTCACGTACTATGACCATTATCGATGGCAATGAGAGTAAGCTATCTATCCTAATGTATATTTTTTATTGATAATATTAAAAAAAACTAAGTGTTAGAAAGTTTGCGAATGTCGGCTGTTGAATAAACATTTAAGAACTTAAATCTAAAGGCTATAATCTATTCAAAAGGAACACATAGATTATTGAAAGATGCTTTAATCTAGGGCAAGAAAAAAACGGAGCCTTAAAAGAAAAAGATACACCGACAGGTCTATAGTTATTTTCTTTATTTTTCACAGAAAACTATCTCGACCTACAAGAGGATAAGAAAGTGCGAGAAGAAGCTATGGATTATAAAAGTACTCGTGAGGAAGTTTTACGGACATTCGAAAGCGTTCGAAAACGTCTCGTATTACTACTGGAAGAAAACATAGCTGAACGACCGCTGCATCAGCTTTCACTCTCTGAGTTCAATCTTCACCATGAGCATAGGAAAGAGCGGCTGAAGCAGGTGTCTGTGTCTTCGAAAACCTACCTACCTATTGACTTTGTTTTATGAATCTTGATAAAGTTTTCTTATCGACTAAAGTTTTTACGATAAACTTAATTACTATAAATTATAAATTGATGTATCCCAACTATATCATTAGTATAATCCATTTAGTTTTTGTATGGAATAATAATCAGGCGGAACGGGAGCGTGAGGAGCTGCGTCTCCAAACAGAGGCTCGTATCCGCGCGCAGGACAAGGTGACAGCCTGGATCAAGGCCACCTGCTGGGATATCATGCTCACCCAACGTGTCAAACTCTTCGCTATCTTCAGTCACTACCAGGTAAATTTTTCGAGGTAGAGATCAATTTCGAAAATGAAATCATCTAATTTTTATATACGTATGTCGCACAAGCTTGTCCCGTGATTCACAATGTTGCAGGAATTTAAACACAAAATCGTATTCCTGTGCAGAACCCTTAGAACTATTGTGGAAATTATGTTGAATTCCCATAAGATATGAATACCAACAAAATAGTCTCAGTGATAGATACAGAAATATGTTTTATCTAGGTGGAGAACTATCCAGTTTTGCCTAATCAACGCGATCAGTGGCCAGAACTGCAAAGTACTTTAGCGCTCCGCGGAGTGGAGATGGACAACGATAACGATCTTTTCCGCCCATGGGAGGAGCATACTACCAGCTCGACGGAAGCTGTCGTTCCCGGTTCACACCCGTAAGTATTGTGAATATAATGTGAATTTCGTTTTAGGTACGTGAGCCAATCTGAGGATTCATACTATATCCTTATCCACTTGCCACCAACCTGCAAGAACATTTACCCTTCGAGATCCGAACGACAAGTCACATAAATTTAAATTAATGCAACGACAAGTATAATTATTCGTTTTAACCATATCAAATTTTTATGCCTTTAGTGTTACTGTAACCAGTTTAATGTTTGAATTGGTTTCATAGTGCAATAAAGAATATTCATATCGTATCATAGGTTCAGTCAGGTCGAAGCTGCTCTGTTGTTAAAATTTTACTTTAGCCGATATAGACGTAGATTATCGGCTGTACATGTTGGGCATCCCTAGGCGCCTGGCGAGCATGGAATCCAAGATATCTATGAGGTCCCCGCGTCGGAGCGTGGTGAGCGAGGGAGAGGTGGAGGCGGGTGAGGCGGGAAACCCGTACGTGTTATCAGGCTCCGACGCACACCGGTACATCAGCGTGCCGTCCGTCATGCTGCAACAGATGCAGGCCTACAGTTTCCTGCACATGACCTCGTTACAGCATATCATAAAGGTCACCGTAGCTCACACCATATCATATTTTGTATATTAGACCACATCACAGAAATAGATACTGTAAAACAAGTACCTTTTGTAGCAAAAAAAAAATATTTTTTACATGTTAATGTAAGCCAAAGTACGACACGACACAATGCATTTCTAACTGTATAACTTAGAGAGTGAACGAAAAGAACTCTAAGCTGTTTAAAGATTCACTAGGTGATCATGAAGCGACAGGAAAGAATCATTCATATTTGCTAACAACTTAGTAAAATAATTGCATATTTCGGCGCGTTTAACATCGACAAACGTTAACCTTTTAGAAAGGGGAAAATTTAACAATAAGAGATCATATTCATTATGGATCTTACAGCTGAACGTGCAAAACATGCGATTGTGGTTCAATAAACAGTTCGACGACCTCATGAACCAAAAGAAACGTGAAGTTGGTCTCGTAGAAGAAAGGAACAATAGACTCAGATTTATAATTGAAGGTTTGATTTTATTATCATTTCTATTTTGTTCATATTATGTTTTTAACAAAACCATATAAAATGACTTTGCCTATTAGCGATGATGCCTGAGTAAAAAAAAAATCAATTTCAGTCGGTCAGACTAAAAAATAAAAACTACGTGTTTATTATTCTTTAATAACGTTTAGATAACCAAAATAAATCATCATGCCTATTATGATGTATGAAATTCAAAATTATGATTTAGAAGCAATTTATACTCTTACTCTTTGTTATACTCTTTCTGACAGAGTTGAACAAGTTGTCCGACTTGCGCGGCAGTTTCCACCACCTAACAATCAAAATCCGCGATCCAGAGTGGCGGCAGGAGGAGCAGCCGCACAGGCTGATTAAGGTTGATCCGGAGGAGGTAACATATATATTTGGATTGAAATTATCAAAGGCTACTTCCAAATTTTACTCCCTGGTTTTGAGAGATTTACTCATAAATAAAATAAATTCCTATCAAAATTCCAATCCGTTGTTTTTGTTGTGTTTCGTTCCATTATATTGACTATCCTACGCTCATTCTCTTGTTGAAATTGCTAAAATCATAAATGGCAACCAACAGTGCAGCATCGAGCCTTATATAAGTCCGAGTCAAATAGTGATCATACCCCCGGATCCGGGCCCCAAGGATGATTTCCGTGAACGAGCACTAATGGATATGATGGACGGAGTTCTAGAGAAGCTCTGGCACGAGGAAATTAAGAAACCTATACCCATGCCGCAGTGTATGGTGAGTGTTATTTTATTACTAACGACAGATTTCTAATAAAGTTTTCATAATAAAAAATCATATTATCAGTTACCAAGAAATGTGAAAGTTCTACATTATTATTAAGGCTAAAAAAGAATCCACAAAACGTGATTTAGCAGAAACTATATCTGAATACAGAGACAAAACTGTGAAATTTCTCCACTTGGTTATAGAACTTTATTCATCGAGGGTAGGGCTTAAATCGAGTGCAAAAATATCACATATTGTACTAATCTAGTGTACTGCTGTGCCTACCGTCAGTACATAATGTAAAAAATTGTAGCTAGAAAAAGATCCAGAACATTTCAATGAGGATGATCTACGACTGGTGTTCGACTACGAAGCTAAAGTTCAATTCCGCAACGAGGAACGAGACAAGTATCGCAAGATGCTGCATGCCGAATACGCCAAATTATCGCAGGTGCTCAACGAGGGAGTTGTCAAATTCAATCAAAAGGTAATGCTACAGAATCAGTCAGCAGGTATATTCCAAAGACAAATTTCCTAATTCTTCAGAATATGAGAGTATACATTTATATTTTATCAATTAACTTGTTGTTAGGTGAAGGAAATGTGGTTAACTAAATTGCAAGTCGATTCTATCATTGGTCAAGAAAATTTGATTCTAATGCGGTTACGTCGCACCAATTTAGATCGGGTAGAAATGGCAGAACATTTGGAAGATATGAGGTAACACTAATAACGTAGATTTGGGAGATTAAATAACTGTTGCTTAAGATATTACTAAAATAAACACTATTAGTGCTTCGAAAAATGGCTTTTAACAGTAATCTCAATCGTATTTTAATACTATAAAAAAAAACCGAAAGAATGCACGGCAGATATCTTTTAAACTGCAATTTATATTAAAGAGCCGATATACGAAAATATGAGCAAGAGATAGAACAGCTACAACAGGAATTACAAGAGATCCAGACGCAAAGTGAGGAGTGCCAAGCAACTTACGACGCGTTAACTGCGAAAGACAGACAGATGGAGCGCACTTTCAAGAATCATTTCGCCGACCTTTCGCCTATCATTGTCGACCAGTGCTACAAGTTCTTCAAGTGAGCCATTTGTAATCACTTTTTCCTCATTTTGAATCACAGTTGATTCTGTTTTTACTTTTTTGTACAAAACAAATTAAAAGCGTTTATTTGTTTGCCATCTCAAAGAGCCTCTGAAACTTAGTAGGTAATGTTTCCATCATCTACAGCACTTAGCGAAGACCCAATTATTTTTACACACTACATTAAATCCTTAAATATAGGATGACTTTATTCAAGTTGTGTTAATCAGATGATTGTAACGTATTCTGTGATGCAATATAACTATGTGATGGCACCAAGGCACCCATAAAAATTGTCTCTGTCCCGCCATGCTAAACTTGTCTGTCGATTTCAGAAAGCGCCCAAAATGGCATCAACGCGCTACTATTACAGCAGCTGCTCTACATGAGCTGGCAACTAGTATCATATCTGGACACCGTGTAACAAACATGCATCCAGACTGCATAGAATACTTCAAGAGGTATGACCGTTATGGTAACTATTAAGAAAATACTTACTATTCAAGTATTTCATGAAAGTAATACTATGATTTTTTATGCCTCCAGTGTCGATCAATTGGATTTGATAAGCAATATGCCGCCAGTGATGGATGAAGTACTGTGGGCTACTATGTGTCGCTTACGCCGTGCCAAAATAGAAAACGAAATACGCGTGAGATAAAATATGATCCTCCATAATTTATTGTTGATGTTTAAGTCAAACAGGTTATAAGGCAGATATTAGACTTATAGGCACTAGACGAGCCTCCTTGTGGTAATACATAAATCACACCCTCTCTTATTAAAAATATCAAAAATGTTTCGCAACGTTTTTTTGAAAGTGTAAAAAACAAAATAACGCCCTCTGGCGTCTAGTTACTGAACAAATACTGAAGATACTGTCGAACAAGCGTGAAGGCTTTGTTGAATCACGGTGCAAATAAATTTGATGAGAAATAAGGCCACACTACAAATCTATTTTAATGTCTTTCAGTGGCGTAGCGTGCCTTGGCGGGGCCCCGTATAAAATTTGTTTGGGGGCCCTTATGTAGGGTAAAGATTTGTCACATAAGAAAGAAAATGTTTGTATAAACTGTGCGAAATTTAATCGTTTATACATTAATTATTATGGGATTCCCCCGTTACGCCTTAAACGGAGATATTCGGTTCCGAGATAGCCCGCGAAAACCGTTATAAGGTAATGCCAAATTTGAAACGCACGCTTTACGTAGGAAAAAGAAATAGCTTTTTTTTACTTTTGTCATTTCTGAATTGAAAAGAAATTTGAGAAGTATTTATTAATTTTTGCTTACGTTGTGGGCCTTAGTGACCCGGGGGCCCCGTATAATTGGTACAGCATATACGGCGGTAGCTACGCCTCTGATGTCTTTGTCAGTATTCATAAGTAACTAAAAATAGACCGACAAATTTAAATTATTTACCCATTAACCCATTCATAAATCGTTTGTAGATGCGCGCGATAGTGTTAGAGACAGCATACGTAGACAGCACAAATGCAGGGTGGAACAAGGCGATACAGGCGCGCCGTCAACAGCTCGCACTCACTCACGACCGTATCTTACAACATCGCGAGACAGTCGAATTTAACTCCCGGAACAAGACTATTCAGGTGAATGACAAAAATTATACTTTAGATACGTTTTTGATGAGACTAGTGTTACAAATAAGCTTTGCCATGTTGCAGTTAGTTTTACCGGCGGGCCAGGTAGAGATTTTGACAAGCGGTCATATGGAAGACTTTGAAGACGCTACACTCATACTACGAGAAGAGATAGAGAAAATTAATAACTTAATTTTGGTAATTACTAATCCCAATGGATAAAAAACTGTAATTTATATCAAATGTTGAATTTTGAAATGGCTTATTTTAACAGAAAGTTGGTGAAATGAAGCTCCGAATGATGCGTAAACAAATGGAGTTCCGCAAAGGCATCTTGTCCAAGGAGTGGGAGCACGCACAAATGAAAATGAAGCTGCGTCATATGCAGCAGGAATTGTATTCATATCAACGGCTTAAGGTCAAATAAATTAACGTTAAAAAATATTTGATATAATTAATTATATTTAATCATTACATATCCGCTTACTTATAATAACTAACTAAAATAATTTAATTCCACAGATACCAAAAGAGTTACAATTTTATTTGAAGAATAAAGAAAAGGGTTACACGGATGAACAGGATTACGTGCGCTTAGAGAAGGAGATGGAAGCCACCAAAGTGTCTGTCAACAAAGTGCTCAGCGAACAAATCCGAAGAGTCGAAGAACTTGAAGTGTGTTTTTATACTGATAATATTAACAAAGTGTTGTAAAACCGTTGCTTATTTTAGAATAACACAAAACCATGAAATCAATAGAAACCAAAAAGAACAAGTTTTAAATTGAAATTAAGGTTATAGGTTATCAGACATTGTATGCAGTTGGGCATTTATAATGGATATTATTGGTATGTAGGTAAAGGTGAATGCAGTGACGACAAAAACGGCCGAAATTGAGAAGCTAATCACGTCGTTAAACGTAAAGGTATCGGAGAAACGCCTTAACGAAGATCCACTCGAGCCCATCCGCATTCGACGCATCTTCAAGCGAAGGTGTTAATATTACTAATTAGTATGAATTAATGTTTACCAAACCCGAAAGCTCGCTCCCATCGCTACCCCATATAGGTTGTGACTAATTATTGACGAGTGAGCATTGTAAGAGACAAGTCTACTATAATGGTGAAGATATTTGTGCGAATAATAAACCTTTAGTCAAATAAATAGATTGCTTTCTCTATATTGATGGGACAAAGCAGATAAACAAGTTATTAAAATCTTGAAGAAACGCAATAACCTCCAATTCAAATCCTCAAATTCCTTGTGTACCTTAATTAAAAAATTGAAAAGATTATATGTACGCCATCATAAATAATTAACGCTTACTGATTACCGAAATTGATCTTATTTCAATTTAATTATTTGGTTTTCAGAATGGAGACGCTGGTAATGCGTAGCAATCTGATCCGCGATGTCCAGAGCAATCACACCACCATCGTGCTTCTACAGACCGAACTCGAGTTGTTGCGTCTGCGCACATACCCTACTCTTGCAAGCTTTCGTACTATCAACTGATACACTGAATATCCGATATTTTATACTTTTGGAAGAGGATGAAATTCAAACCTCGCCAAGCAAATTACTACGGATGCGGTTCACCCCATAATACATTTAACTTGTCATAATCGTTTAACAGCAAATAAAAATGAAATTGCTAAGATGCAATAATATCGAATAGATAAGCACTGATTTGAGTTACATATAGTTTTCGAACGATCAAGGGTTTTTATATCACCATAGTTCAGTTCAGTTAGTCTGGTTCAGTTAGTTACTGAACCGGTTTTTATTCCACCCGAATTTCATTCCGCGTTCAGTTCCGATCCGGAACGGAACATTATAAGAGACAGGTTTTACCTAAATAAAAACGGTTTATTCTGAACCGGTTTCAAGCCCTGGTTTCTAGTCCCATCTCAGTGTCAGAGACAACACTTTGTCTTCTTGTTAACAAGAAAAGTAGCTCGGTGGCGTAGTGGATAAGCGCTGCGGCCCGTGATCGTAGTCGTTAAGCAACTTTCCTACGGGTGACCTAAAAATTATTATCTCGAGCTACTCCGTGCTTCGGAGGGCACGTTAAGCCGTTGGTCCCGGCTGCATTTGCAGTCGTTAATACCCTCCAATCCGCATTGGGCCAGCGTGGAGGGTCATGGCCCATCCTCCTTAACCATCCATAAGGAAGGCCTGAACCCCTGCAGTGGGGACGTAAAAGGGCTGGTGATGATGATAACAAGAACCACTGTTCTTGTTAAACGTTTTTGATTTAGAATGTGGAGATATGGAGATCTTTGTATAGCTTGACGTGCTGTTGCCTATATATTAGAGTTTTCCTTCATTTGTTCGTTTGAATCTTTTGTTCTTGAAGATACAGATTGTGTGTATAAGTTATAAATATTTGATTCCAAAACAGTGTTTCAATGATACAACCTCTTTGATCACAAAGTTTATTTGTCATAAAACAATTTTGGTTACACATTTCCACGTTAAATACAGTCGCCGGTTACAGTACCTATTCACTAATTATAAATTGCTGTTTATCAGAAATTAGTATGAACTACAAATAAAGTAGGCTGAACAGCTTCTAGATATTAAAGAAGATATACCGAAAGTTATGTAAACCATAGTTAATATATTGTTAACATTGTGTCTGTACTACAAACATGTGCACAGTCGGTCAAAATCACAGAACAATGGAAAAAGATCAACGTCATAGATTTGTGTAGACGTCAAGAATTTTAAAGATATCTAAACTTATTGTGTAGCCATGGTAGGAATAGATCTGATAGATTTGGACATATTACTTAATTTGATGACATTCTTTTATTATAATAATACTGTGTGGACCAGTATCTGATAGCACAAAAACAAAAGAAATAATCACGATTTTCATATGGCAATATAAATTGTCAATTATTGTTGACTGTCAAGTCAAAGTATAAATTTTGGTAAATGTTTGTGAAAATATTAATTTATCTTGTGTAATAGTCTAAAAATCCTTTAGGCGAGAAATATCGTTTTTAATGTTTATAGCAAAACTTGTGAAAATAAGCTGAAGATCAAGATTTATTTTTTATTTCACAGTGTGTTTATGAATTCAATGCTATCTAGCAATGACTAGTCTTGATACTCATTTTTTTTCTAAATAATTAATTAGTAAATATTCGTTGGCGTGTTGAGTATTACAATAAAACGCCGGAGGAAAATAGAATGGTGAAAAGAAAATAAAAGAATTAAAACTGATTTGATATATATATATATGTAAGCGTAACCCATAGTTACAATATTAGTAGATATTAGTAATAAAAAATACATAAAGCTTTATTTAATCGGATAAGATTCCGGGTTAGGTAAATTATTATTGGGTTTTGCTGTCGAGTCGGGTGCTGTCAACATATGATATTAGATTTCTCTAGAGTGTACATGTTTTTGTGTCTCACACAGTTGGTTAATCTATGTCAAAATTTGCCGTGATCGGAATTCGGTCAAGAATATATTCAATACTACGAGGCAGTTATTGAAAAGTTTTTATTATATTAAAATATTACAAGTATCAAGAACAATGCTGTCTTCTACAAATTAAAATTTTCCGATTTGCCATCAGATTCTGGTACACCTGTAGAACCTATAGGTAACCATAAAAATTCACGCCAATTCACGCACTTGTGAATCCATTTCAAGAATTTATTCCATCGACAACGAAAACAAGTCCGAGCTAGTTTCTGAATATTTCTGCAATTTATGCTGGCCAAATCGTTCTCTTGTTGCTAATAACAAAATATCTTCCCATAAACTACCGAGTAACACTAATAATAATATTTTTGTTGTTCCTTACGGTGACACGCATATTAGTCTATTGCTTTGTCCATTTACGAGTTATACTATTTTCAAATGAGCATATTAATATTTTTTTAATACCATTTTTCCGTAAAATTTGTGTTGGTACTTGCAAGACTGTCACATTTGAATCGTATTTGTATGAAATTTTAAAACTATAATAATCTCAAATAGAAAGGTACAGTCGCGGACATAGATACACATTTAATAATGGACACTTATAAACTAATCTTATATAATATTTTAATTTCACTAAAAGATTATTTTACTACATATTATTACATTCACATATTTTACCATCATATGAGTAACTCGGTGGCGTAGTTATTAAGCGCCACGGCCCCCGATCTTTGTCGTTATGCAACTTTCGCAAGGGTCGGTCACGGGATGCGTGACCAAAAAATTATTATCACGAGCTACTCCGTGCTTCGGAAGGCACGTTAAGCCGTTGGTCCCGGCTGCATTTGCAGTCGTTAATACCCTCCAATCCGCATTGGGCAAGGGTCATGGCCCATCCTCTTTAACCATCCATAAGGAAGGCCTGAGACCCTGCAGTGGGGACGTAAAAGGGCTTAATGATGATGATGATGATGATTAGTCATTATCGACCTTCTAGGAAACAATATGCAAGTCAAGACGAGTATCGCAGATCACTTAACAATGTAACAATCATTATTTAATAACGAGCGTAACTTTAAACAGACAATCACATAACCAAATACTTATTCTAGACCAAAAATTACACTTTATTTAAAATATTATGTTGTGCGCGACTGCACCCACATTCTTGTATAAAGTTAGGCCACCATTTCGTTTTTATATTATATCACATAATTTTATAATCACATTTTGCCAATATTATATTACAGAAAGATTTTCCTAAAAAATGGACAAATACTTAACCAAATATTTTATTTTTTTTTTTTCAAAATGTTCATGGCGTTTGAAATTTTAATATGACTAACGTTGTGATATGTAGGCAAGTGGGTTTCATAACGTTCTTTTAGCTATTCATATTCCATGAATGAACCACAGAGAAGGGTGAGTTAATAGTATCCTTATTTTAATAATGCATCTCGTAACTTTATTTTCCTCCGTACAAGTTCTTCAGAATTCTTCTATTTTAGCGCGCAATGTCCAATAATTCTATTTTACTTGAAATTTTTGTTAGAGGACGATGGTTATGGTCATATCCGCTTTCCAAGTGTAAATAAAGTATGATACTTTTTCTAATTTTGCTACTTATTAAATAAAAGTACAAAAAGTCGTCTATTCAGTATTGTCTATAGGGCGGTGCGTTGATCGTACACTATTACCGCGTCTGCATCGAAGAATTGGCTGTGCGACTTACTCAGTGCGATGATGGCAGCGTGCTCGCTGCGCATGCGATTCTTATACTTCTTGCTCAAATTCACCTGAACAGACATTACAGATATTATGTTTAAAGAATTTTCATTACAACAAAAATCGGGTGTGCTTTGCTCGCACACCTTCGAGTACTCTTAATCCGTCAACACTTATTAATATGTGTTGTATATATTTTTTAGCCCGATTATAGGTATAATCTGAAAAGCGATGAACTTTTTATTTGACATATATGAAGTAATCGTGGTCCTTCGAGTCAAATCATGTCTACATAGAAATTACCTTTGCATAGAGCTGCTGTAAGTCATCTTCCGTCGACAGTGGTCGGGGCTTGGGTCGAAGAAAAGCAGGCAGAGAGCGAGTTTTCAGTGCGTCCATGTTGGCCGCGTTATCTATTTCGTCTAACACTGAAAAATATAGATCGGTACTTGCATATTTTAAACTCTAAAAGAGCAGATGTTATTTTATTCTCTTAACAAGGAAGAAGTGTAACAAGGTACACAGTCAAAATTGTAGGTATACTTATATAAAAACATAAGCGAACCCTGAATCAGTGTTGGATAAGTACAGAATCTGACTAACTGGTGCTTGAAGCGTAAGGCGGCGCGGCATCGCGAGTTGGTTGAGTGTGGTGCGCGGGGGGTGGGGCGTGCGGGGGGCGGGGCGCGCGCCGCCACTCGTCCCCCGCATAGCTGGCCGGCCGGCCGTGCCGCGACACCTGCACCTGTACCACGACATACTATACCTATGTTGTCGCCTACAACTTCTAATAATGTTATAATGAATATCTCGTTAATGAAACGTTCAGCCGCAACAGATTTACAGGTAGAGGGGAGAGCGTTTGCAAAAAAATTAAACTGTCGTTTTCTTTACAGCAAGAACTGTCACCCGAATTAAGCTTTTACGTGACATAACGGAAGAATTATTGCAAAGCTACATAAATAAGTTTAAAGGCCAGTGCCTTTAAAATTATTTGTGTAGCTTTGCAATTTATATTTTATACTTTTGTTTGTATTTATATAAGAATGTAAAGTTACATTTAAACATCGATAATCTACAGTAAAGTAACCACTTTATGTTTTATTAGAAGGCAACACTAAATTTATCGTATTTACCACAGACAAATGGATTTCGAGGTAGATTTATTAGTAGCCACTGCAAGTGGAATTATTTAAAAATATACATACCTCCGCATGCTTTATTTTATAATTTTCTTGAGTTGCGTATGCATTGTTTTCTTTGATTGCATAACTTTCCTTGAGGTATTGCTCATCTGGAAAGTAGGAATATCAATATGTCTAAGATACGAGTATATTGGTATTCTATCTACCCCGTGCCAT